GTGAGCCAAGATTGTCTCCAGCCTGTGTGACAGGGCAAGACACTGTCTTTTTAAAAAAAATTTTTAGCCGGGCGCGGTGGCTCAAGCCTGTAATCCCAGCACTTTGGGAGGCCGAGGCGGGTGGATCACGAGGTCGAGAGATCGAGACCATCCTGGTCAACATGGTGAAACCCCGTCTCTACTAAAAAGTGCAAAAAAATAGCTGGGCATGGTGGCACGTGCCTGTAATCCCAGCTACTCAGGAGGCTGAGGCAGGAGAATTGCCTGAGCCCAGGAGGCGGAGGTTGTGGTGAGCCGAGATCGCGCCATTGCACTCCAGCCTGGGTAACAAGGGCGAAACTCCGTCTCAAAAAAAAAAAAAAAAAAAAAAAAAAAATTTTTTTAAAGGGCCAGGCGAGGTGGCTCATAACCTGTAATCCTAGCACTTTTGGAGGCTGAGGCAGGTGGATCACGAGGTCAGGAGTTTGAGACCAGCCTAGCCAAAGTGGTGAAACCCCGTCACTACTAAAAATAAAAAACTAGCTGGCTGTGGTGGCAGGTGCCTGTAATCCCAGCTACTCCAGAGGCTGAAGCAGGAGAATCGCTTGAACCCGGGAGGCAGAGGTTGCAATAAGCTGAGATCACACCACTGCACTCCAACCTGGGCAAAAGAGCAAAACTTTAAAAAAAGTCCTGGCACGGTGCCTCATGCCTGTAATCCCAGCACTTTGGGAGGCAGAGAAGGGAGGATCACTTGAAGTCAGGAGTTGGAGACCAGCCTGGCCAACATGGTGAAACCCTGTCTACTAAAAATACAAAAATTAGCCTGGTGTGGTGGCAGGCACCTAATCTCAGCTACTAGGGAGGCTGAGGCAGGAGAATCGTGTGAACCCAGGAGGCAGAGGTTGCAGGGAGCTGAGACTGTGCCACTGCCCTCCAGCCTAGGCAACAGCACAAACCTCCCATATCAAAAAAAGAAAAAAGAATGAAGGTTCTGTGGGCAAGAGGGAGGGAATGAGAGCAAGTGGGATGAGAGGCATTAATCAGAGAAAGTCTGAGTTTGAGTCCTTGCAAGGGGAACTGTGTGCACAACAGGACAGGTGAGGGTTACTGTGCACTTCTTAATGGGAGGGGCTTACAGCTTTCATAGGATTTTCCAAGGGACCCATGCCCCAACCCCTAAGAGTTTGCTGACACCCTTGTCCACTGCTGCGACCTCTGCCGTCCTGGCGAGTCTCACATGCCGTCTCTGCTGCTGAGCCTTCCTTTGGAAGCCTTCAGCAATGCCTCAGCCCTCTGGTTTTCCTCTCTCTCCAACCTTTATTTATTTATTTATTTATTTATTTATTTATTTATTTTTGAGACGGAGTTTCACTCTTGTTACCCAGGCTGGAGTGCAATGGCGCGATCTCGGCTCACCGCAACCTCCGCCTCCTGGGTTCAGGCAATTCTCCTGCCTCAGCCTCCTGAGTAGCTGGGATTACAGGCACGTGCCACCATGCCCACCTAATTTTTTTGTATTTTTAGTGGAGACGGGGTTTCACCATGTTGACCAGGATGGTCTCGATCTCTCGACCTCGTGATCCACCCGCCTCGGCCTCCCAAAGTGCTGGGATTACAGGCTTGAGCCACCGCGCCCGGCGCCAACCTTTAAATGTCTGATTCCATAGGGCTCTGTCTTCTGTTCTCACTCTGCCTTTTTTTTTTTTTTAATGGAGTTTCATGCTGTTGCCCAGGCTGGAGTGCAGTGGCTCAATATCGGCTCACTGCAAACAACTCCGCCTCCTGGTTCAAGAGATTCTCCTGCCTGGGCCTCCTGAGTACCTGGGATTACAGGTGCCTGCCACCAAGCCTGGCTAGTTTTTGTACTTTTAGTAGAGATGGGGGTTTCACCATATTGGTCAGGCTGGTGTCAAACTCCTGACCTCAAGTGATCTGCCTGCCTCAGCCTCCCAAAATGCTGGGATTACAGGCGTGAGCCAACACGGCTGGGCACACTCTGCCTTTTCTAGATCATCTCATCTCCTCCCAGTTTTGAATACTCTGCATTGCATGATTTCCAATATTTTTTCTTATCCCTTGGAAATTCTGTAATTGTTGAAGGGGCTCTTTCATACTTAAACAGGTTTTTGTTTGTTTGTTTTGTTTTTTTTGTTTTTTTTTTGAGACGGAGTTTCGCTCTTGTTGCCCAGGCTGGAGTGCAATGGCGCGATCTCGGCTCACCGCAACCTCCGCCTCCTGGGTTCAGGCAATTCTCCTGTCTCAGCCTCCTGAGTAGCTGGGATTACAGGCACGTGCCACCATGCCCAGCTAATTTTTAGTATTTTTAGTAGAGACGGGGTTTCACCATGTTGACCAGGATGGTCTCGATCTCTTGACCTCGTGATCCACCCACCTCGGCCTCCCAAAGTGCTGGGATTACAGGCTTGAGCCACCGCGCCCAGCCAAACAGGTTTTTTTAAAAAAAGCATGTGTTGCTCTTACAAATATAAACAACATTCATTGGTTTTCCTGAAACTTCTCCACATTAACATTGCTAATTACTTTCCATTTGGAGTCAATGCACTTTGGGAGGCCTAGGCCAGTGGATCACCTGAGGTCAGGAGTTTGAGATCAGTCTGGCCAACGCAGTGAAACCCTGTCTCTACTAAAAATACAAAAAAATTAGCCAGGCATGGTGGCACACACCTGTAGTCCCAGCTACTTGGGAGGCTGAGGCAGGAGAATCGCTTGAGCCTAGGAGGTTTCAGTGAGCTGAGATCATGCCACTGCCCTCCAGCCTGGGCGACACAGCGAGACTCCGTCTCTAAATAAATAAATAAATAAATAAATTTATATCTGCATACTTTCTGACCAGCTCACCTATTTACTAGAAATCTATGTACAATGCCTTAGTTTCCTCATTTTTAAATTGGGGATAACAATGCCTACCACAGTGAGTTGCTGTGAAGATTAAATGAAGACACACTGTACCCACCCACACCCACAGGCGCCAGAGTGCTTGGTACTTAAGTGGTAACTCTAACCTTTGGCACATTGGGAAGATTTACCTGATGTCTTCCCAAACTACTAATTTATTCTCCAAGACACTAATTTATTCCTACCAATTAACATATGGCTCAGGAGAATGAAACTGGATTAGTGTTTCCCAAAGTGTGACTCCAGGGAGCCTTGTTAAAATGCAGGTTTCCAGGCAGGGTCTGGGGAAGGGGCTGCAGGCGCCCTGTCCACAAAGGTGGCAGAGAAGCCCCTAAAACAGTCCAAGAAACAGACCAAAGAGATGGACAAGGAAGATAAAGCTTTGGTCCTGGCCACAGGCAGAATTAAGAAATCTGGCAGCTGGGTGCGATGGCTCATGTCTATAATCCCAGCACTTTGGGAGGCCGAGGTGGGCACAAGGTCAGGAGTTCGAGACCAGCCTGGCCAATATGGTGAAACCCTGTCTCTACTAAAAATACAAAAATTAGCCAGGTGTGGTGGCGGGTGCCTATAGCTGAGGGAGGAGAATTGCTGGAACCCGGGAGGTGGAGGCTGCAGTGAGCCGAGATCATATTGCAGTCCAGCCTGGGTGACAGTGAGACTCTGTCTCAAAAGAAAAAAAAAAAAAGAAATCTGACAGGGAGAGGCACAGTGGCTCAGGCCTGTAATCCCAGGACTTGGGGAGGCTGAGGCAGGTGGATTGCTTGAGCCCCGGAGTTTGAGACCAGCCTAGGCAACATGGTGTTACCCTATCTTTTTATATATACATATGTATATACACACACACACACAGGCAAAATATATATAATATATAAATATGTATTTGCCAGGAGCAGTAGCTCAACGCCTGTAATCCTAGCACTTTGGGAGGCTGAGACGGCTGGATCACTTGAGGTCAGGAGCTCAAAACCAGCCTGGCCAACATGGTGAAATCCTGTCTCTACTAAAAATAAAATAAAAAAAAAATTAGTGAGGCATACTGGTGTCTGCCTGGGAGACAGCTACTTGGGAGGCTGAGGCAAAAGAATTGCTTCAACCTAGGAGGTGGAGGTTGCAGTGAGCCGAGATTGCACACTGCACTCTAGCCTGGGTGACAGAGTGAGATTCCACGTCTAAAAAATAAAAATAAAATTATATGTATTTATATATAAATTAGCTGGGCGTGGTAGTGGCACTCACCTGTGGTCCCAGCTACTTGGGAGGCTGAGATGGGATGATTGCTGGAAACTGGGAGGCAGAGGCAGAGGTTGCAGTGAGCAGAGGTCAAGCCACTGCACTCCAGGAAAAAAAAAAAAAGCTAAATAATCTGTCAAAAGAGAGCTGTTCCACTGTATTTTGTGCCTGCAGTGATGGTGGCCCTGACTCCATTCGTGTTTAAACATCAGGATTCCTGGCCACATCTTTGAACCAGGGAGGTGGAGGCTGCAGTGAGTTGAGATCATACCACTGCACTCCAGCCTGGGTGACAAAGTGAGACTTTGTCTAAAAAAAAAAAAAAAAAAAATCCTATGCTAGAATAAAGTGTTGTCTTGGAGCCTGTTGCACATTTAAGAATAAACTTTAAAAGAAAATACGAGGCTGGGCGCGGTGGCTCACGAGGTCAGGAGTTCCAGACCAGCTTGGCAAACATGTCAAAAGCCTTTCTCTACTAAAAATACAAAAATTAGCCAGGCATGGTGGCCGGCACCTGTAATCCCAGCTACTGGGATGGCTGAGGCCAGAGAATCGCTTGAGCCCGGGCAGCGGAGGTTGCAGTGAGCCGAGATTGCGCCACTGCCCTCCAGCCTGGGCAACAGAGCAAGATTCCCGTCTCAAAAAAAAAAAAAAAAAAAAAAAAAAAAAAGAAAAGAAAAGAAAGAAAAGAGAAAAAGAAAATACAGTGGCTCATCATCTCTTCCAGTTGTTTCACTCAGCAAGTAAAACCAGCCCAGAATCTTGCCAGAGTCAGCCCTTTGATCTTTGTTCTACCCTAAACTCTTATCGTCTGGAATTGAATCAACTCATTTGAAAAAAAGAAAAAAACAAGCAGTTTCTGGGCTCACCCTAAACCCACTGAACAGAATGACTGCGGTGGCACCCCGGAACCTTTCACAGGCCTCCCAGCTGCTGCTAATGCCCACTGAAGCCCGGACGCTCGGGTAGGGCCAAGGCTGCCGGACCGGCTGCAGGCGCTGGAGGACCCGGGGCTAGAGGGCGCAGCTCTCTCCCGGCTCGCGCCTCGGCTCCCGGAAGAGCAGCTCTGTCCGCCGTCCGGCTGCGCTCGCCTCCTCCTTTCCGCTTCCGGTGTACCCTACAGCCATGGCTGCCGCCGTCGCTGCTGCCGGTGCAGGGGAACCTCAGTCCCCGGACGAATTGCTCCCAAAAGGCGACGCGGAGAAGACTGAGGAGGAGCTGGAGGAGGACGACGACGACGAGGTACTAGGGACTCGCGGGGTGCGGGGCGGGAAGCGGTCCCGCTTGTTGGTGTGGGATCCGCGTGGTACGGGATCCGAGCGAAGCTGCTTTCCTGGGAGGCGGGGTTAGGGGCCCCTGTGGGCCCGGGGGTGCCCTAGCTCCAGTGGGCTCCACGGCTCCCAGCGCCGCAGCGGGGCCGGGAATGGATGCCGCTTTTTCTTGTAAGACCCGCGCCTCCTCCACCACAGCTAGATGAGACCCTGTCGGAGAGACTATGGGGCCTGACAGAGATGTTTCCGGAGAGGGTACGGTCTGCGGCGGGAGCCACTTTTGATCTCTCTCTCTTTGTGGCTCAGAAAATGTACAGGTAAGGAATGAGGCAAAGGCGTTGGGTACGTGCATGGGATGACCGCGGTGCTGTGAAGGAACACGGGATTTGGAAGCAGGAGACCTGGGTTGAGTGACCTTGGATTTGTACCCTAACCTTTCTGAGTCTCAGTTTCCTCTTCTGTAAAATGGGGATTCTTAACTGGCAGGGGCGTTGTGGGGGTTATTTCAGATTGTTGGAGATAATTAATAAGGAGCTTTGTAAGAACTAAGGAGAATGTTAAAACCGCCATCACTAAATGTTACAGCTACCACAGCTGCTCTTTCTGTCTCTGGTAGGAGTATGGTTCAATGAGTGGGTAGAATACGTTTACCAAAAACATTGGCATATTTAATGTGAGAGGTTTGGTTATTGGGTAGTTTTTCCCTGTTTTGTTTGTGTGTCTTCATGCTCTTTGAAGCATGAAGCTCTTTGAAAACCCTTTGGGGGTTTTCCTCTGCAGGTTTTCCAGGGCAGCCTTGTGGATTGGGACCACTTCCTTTATGATCCTGGTTCTTCCCGTTGTCTTTGAAACGGAGAAGTTGCAAATGGAGCAACAGCAGCAACTGCAGCAGCGGCAGGTGAGCCCGGAGCCTGGGCATTTTGCCAGGGGTGGAGACGCAAGGGATTTCTCTAATTGTCTTCCATGAAACCTTAGTCCCTGGTTTCATGGACGACAGTTTTTCCATGGATGGTGGGGGTAGGGGGGATGTTTTCCGGATGATTCAAGTGCATCACATTTATTGTGCACTGAATTTCTATTATTATTACGTTGTAATATATAACCAGATAACTCCATCATGTAGAATCAGCGGGAGCCCTAAGCTTGTTTTCCTGCAACTAGACAGTCTTATCTGGGGTTGATGGGAGACAGTGACAGATCATCAGGCATTAGATTCTCAAAAGGAGCATGCAACCCAGATCCCTCTCATACACTGTTCACAAGGGTTTGTGCTCCTATGCGAATCTAATCCTGCTGATCTGACAGGAAGCAGAGCTCAGGTGATTATGTGAGCAATGGGGAACAACTGTAAACACAGATGAAGCTTCTCTCACTTGCCTCTGCTCACCTCCTGCTGTTCACCTCCTGCTGTGTGGCCCGGCTCCTAACAGGCCATGGACCAGTGCCAGTCCATGGCCCAGGAATTGGGAACTCCTGGTCTCGAACCTGGGTTGACCAACAGTTAATGTGTGGTGGGGATTGTGATCGTGTCCATGCTCTTTCAGGTGCCTGACGGTGAGAATAACATCTTGGGGCCTGTATGATGCCTTACACCGTTCCTTTTCTTTTCCAGATACTTCTAGGGCCTAACACAGGGCTCTCAGGAGGAATGCCAGGGGCTCTACCTTCACTTCCTGGAAAGATCTAGATTGTTACTGCTCTTTGAGGTGTCTTGGTGGGAGAAATTTGAAATTCAGTAGTGTTTGAACTGCTGATTATTTGGATTTTTTTTTTTAAACTTTGGCACATTGATCTATCTAAACCTGGTGGAGAGAATTCTCCCCACATTGTCTCATGGAAAGACTCAACTTACAACTGTGCCCTCCATGCTATCCTGACTTGCTTCCGTCTTCACTCATACCAGAGTGCAGACACGCAGACGGTTATTCCAGCTCTGGCCACCCCACTCCTTTCACCAAATTGCTCCTAACTGGAAGATCTCACTTTCCCCTTGTGGGGTAGGAACCGATGCCACTGGGAGGGATGTGCCCCTGACTATTAACGACTGCTTTTTTTTTTTTTTTTTTTTAAAGAATAGAGCTGTTGGGGAGGGACATGCACACAATGTGAAACATACAAAATGCATTACACCTGTAGTGTAAAGTGGCCACTATTAATTCCTGCGTATAAGAGGAGGGAGGCTGCAGCTTCAGCCACAGAATGGGGACTATGGAAGACAGGGCAGGGGCTGATTTTCTCTGCATATTTTGGCTGTTAGACCTGGGTGTGTGGGTTTAAAAAACCAGAAGTTAGTGCTCACTTTTTGTATTTAAATATTAAAAATGATTCCAACTGAAAGTGTCATCCATGTGCTTGTGAAAAGTACCTTGAAATGAGACCAGAGGGTCAGAGACACATACTGTCCCTCACATTTCCCCTCACCTAAACCAGCAGCACCTCCATCTTAGCACTCACCCCATAGACCCAAATTGTTTCCAAAATTGAAAAAAATCCTTTTTAGCCAAGTATTTCATAGCAGTCTTTACCCTGAATTTAGGCAGTCACTTAAGAGATCCATCAGCCTAAAATAAAGGATTGGGTCCATGTACTTCTTCAGTCTATAATGACACTGTAATTACAAAGCATTTGTAGAGAATAACATTTCTGCAGAATTGGGATTTTTTTTTTTTTTCCTCCTGAGACCTGGTCTCAATGGAACAAAGTGGTGTCATCTGGGTTCACTACAACCTCTATCTCCCAGGCTCAGGTGATCCTCCCAACTCAGCCTCCTGGGTAGCTAGGACTACAGGAACATGCCGCCACACTCAGCTAGTTTCTTGTATTTTTGGTAGAGTCAGGGTTTCACTATGTTTCCCAGGCTGGTCTTGGGAATGGTGGTCTAGCCATCCACCCACTTCTGGCATCTCAAAAGTGTTGGGATTACAGGTGTCAGCCACCACGCTCAGCCAGAGTAAGCCTTATATGTGAGTTATCAGATAGTCAACACTAGACAATTGAGGAGGTGGTATTCCCGTTTTACAGAAGAGACAGACACAGAAAGGTAATTGCTCAGGCTGCAAAGTAAGTGCTAGACCTGGATTCCAGTCCAGGCAGTCCAACTACAGAACGCTGCTGCTGTGCACTTAGGATGAAGCTGGGTCCAGGCCCTCTGTGCAGATATATGGTCTTTCACATGTTAACTAGGGAAAAATGTGAGTCCCCAGTGTGGTACAAACTTGCAGTTACCTGGATTCTTCACATTGTCAATTTTAATAAAATAGACTGAAAAATGTCTTGGGGACATCTTTTGAACCAAATCCCATTTCAGCAACGATTCTGTCTAGATTTCTCAGGTTAAAGATTTAATCAAAGCACGGTATATCTCTAAAAGATGATTTATGCTGGCAATGAATTCCTTTTAAAACAGGATCATACTAAAGTTTATTTTTCTTCCTTTGCACAATTAGAGAATTCAGGCAGACAAGACATACGGAGTTTTCCATTTTTAATATTTGGTTAAACAAAATACATCTTTTGTAAACAAACCCAGCACAAGGCCAACAACAAAAAGGAATAAAAGCAAGAAAAAAAAGCATAGGGTTGCCCCTTATTGGGCATCAGGGTCAGGCCTGCTCACTTCCTTGAAGGAAGTGGGGCTTTTTGCCCTTGGGCATCAGCATGGGTCCCTGTTCCTAAGCACCAGAATTGGATATGAACAGAGAAACCAGCCCTGAAATGTTTAAGCGTCTTTGCATATCCCATTGGCTCATGGACTCCAAGTGCATGGGGACTGTGAAGTGCCATTTGCACAGGGCCAAGTGGATTTGTGGAGAGGAGTTTCCTCCTCTTCCCAAGAAATGGCTTTACTATCTCTTGACAGTGCCAGTGGCCCCAAGGTCCTGCTTGTGACAATCAGCAAGGTTGGCTGTAACGTCTGGCTGGTGGTGGTTGGAATGTCATTGTGCAGGGCGGGAAGAGCTCCCTGTGGCGCCAAGCAGGTCTGCTGTAGAAAATGGTGCAGAAGAAACCGGCCAGTTGCTGAGAAGACACAATGAAGTAGCCACTTGGTGGCCTGTTACTCAGCATTAAAAAAAAAAAAAAAAACAGCCTTGCTGGATTGAAGATACATGTGCAGAAAAAGTGCTGGTGTAAACATGCACTCCAGTCACAGGGGGAGAACGCCTCAGCTTAACCCCGTTAAAGCTTGCTCAGGATCAACATGCAAGCCCCAGGCTGGCTTTGCTGCCAGAGAGAAGTCTGGCCAGTGGGGCAGCTCTCAGTACCTGCCAACACCATCGATCTGAGGGCCAGTGGGTCACCCCTGCCTGCCCACCTGCCTTGAGGCAACCACATCCAGTTTGGAGACACGTGTGTGGTATGATACTTATTTCTCTTTCGTTTTCCAAAGTTACAAGAGAAAATCGGCCTACAACTATTTCAAGAGGTAGGGGCAGGTTGAACTTCCACTGATATATAAAGAAAACGACAGGAAGATGGCAAACCCAGGTCTTGTTCCATCCACAATGCACGGAGCCACCCAACTTGGCACTATAGTGACAGCCTCCAAGCCTACAATGTCTACTGAATTCTGGCTGCTCCTACTCTGAGAAGCCTGTCTTCACAAAACTTTCCTCACCCAACTCTGCCCCAAATTAGTGGAATTTGATGTCAAAGGCAGACTTATTTTTTCCTGATTTTGCCAGCGTGACTGAACTGGGAAAACTGCTTTTTGGCTTCTCTTGTCCCAGAGCCTCCTGAATCGATGTCGTGAAGTGGCAGGGACAACACTGGAGAAAGCGAGCCACCGCATGGCCGTCCCAGTGTGGCTTTTGCCACATCCTGTTAGGTATCTATCTTACTCAGCTCACGCTAGAATATTAGTGTGGAATATTAGAGAACTTTTCATTATAAAACTCCACGTATGGCCATAAACCACCCTTACACCTCAGGAGAAGGGTTGGAAGCATGCTGGACCGCCGCCAGAGTTTTGGGACATGGTTTCCTGAGAGATCTTTATGCTCTGGCGTCTTCAAGCCAGTCCCATGGGGTTTGTGTGCGTTACCTTCAGACCCAGACAGGATGGAAAGTGGAGGCAGCATCTCTAGGTGAGTCTCAAGCAGCAGTGACAACTCAGCAGAACACCTGTGTCAAGTCCTCACAGAAAACGGAAAATAAGCTAGAATTCCCTCCCTGCTCTACTTTCTCCTCTGTCTCTTAAGCAAAACAAGGGTTTGTGACTGCTGGCCTTGAGTGCACAGAGCTCCTACCTTCCTTGCCCAGGAACAAAACACTGGGTAGTTCTTACAACAGTTCACATGTCTGTCCTATTGCACTGTCAGATCTGAAGGGGAAAACCCGATGAGACGTTTGGGGAAGCAGCAGGGGCAGACCCACTGCAGAGGCCACAGCACATCACGGACACTGAAGGGGCTGAGCTGAGAGGGAGGCTGGGCAGAACTGTGTTACACATCAGTCCTCCAACTCTGATGGGCCTCTACCTCTTCTGGTACCACCAGCAGGAGTTCACAGTTCTTTCCTCGTAAATGATGTTTTAGAAACTTCCTATGGAAAAAGGAATAGAGAAAATAAAATGCTAGTGAGTTGCAAATTCCAGTCTCAGGACTACAAAGTCACCAGAAACCTCACTATACCCTTGGCGGTCTTAAAAACATTCCTGTAGTCATCTGGTTTTGGAGATTTGATTACCTCTCCAGTCTGCTTAAAATCCCAACCTAAATTTTTGCTGATCCTTGTAGTTAGACTGCCAACAGTGGCTGGTTCTGTGACTAACAGTACCCAAAGTACTATAAAGGACTTATTTTTTTTGGAGACAGAGTTTTACTCTTATCTCCTGGACTGAAGGGCAATGGCATGATCTTGGCTCACTGCAACATCCTCACTGTGATTTTCCCGACTCAGCCTACTGAGTAGCTGGAATTACAGACAGGTGCCCAGCATCATGCCTGGCTAATTTTTGTATTTTTAGACAGGGTTTCACTATGTTGTCCAGGCTGGTCTCAACCTCCTGACCTCCTGATCCACCTGCCTTGGCCTCCCAAAGTGTTGGGATTACAAGCGTGAGCCACTATGCCCAGCCTCTAAAGGACTTTTACAAATGCTCTTTTTTGGTCCTAGGGAATTCAGTCATCCCTGGCCTGAGTGAATGTCTTCCTTTCTATGAACTTTCTATGGCAACTACACTGTCTCAGTTGTCTTCAATGGAGAGACCATTACAACGCCAGCCCGCCAGACCGGAAGGCCAGATCCCAGGCTGTGCGTCTTCCCTACCAAAAGGACTTAAAAGTACCGATGGACCGTCGAAGATTAAGGTCAGGTTTCAGCCTCTATGATTCTAAGGCAGGGAGAGAATCCAAGAACACAGGAATTTCACTGCCTTTGTCAAATAACCAGCGATGAGCTCCATGTCCCCAGCATAAGAAATGAAGGACCCCAGCAACTTGGCCACAACAGGTGCCGATTACCTGAGCTCGCTCTCGCCTCCAATCCACTCGGGCATCTTGAGTTTGGAGTCGAGGTTGTAGTAGGCCCCTCCCACCTCTCGGACACAGATCCAGTGCTGCCTTTTGAGGGGCAGCTTCAGTGGACCCCAGCATAGGCTGGAGGGCAGATTCATGATGAAGCCCATGACGTTAGTGAGGGCAATGACGCCGACATCCCTGCAGAGGAGAAATGGTGATAGGCTCTTAGGCAGCCCACTTCCTAAGGTTCTCTGGCTGTAATACCACAACTGGCCACCTCCCCACTCATGCTATGAGCCCAAGTACTAAAAGCTTATACCACAACCGTGCTGTTCTCCACCAAGTTAAGCCTGATTCAGATTACCTGCGCTTGTCCCACCAAACAGCTTCATAGCCTTTGGTTTGAAGTGCTGCCATAATGACATTCACATCGTAGTTGCCATTTCCCAGCATGCTCTTCTTGTGAGGTGTCACCATGGTGTTTGGAGACAACCTACCAATGTGAAAAGAGGAGGGCTGAGACGTGCTGGGTGGGCTAACCCCTCCTGGCCCTGCACTGCCAGGGATAGAAAGCACTTTACATCACTGCCCCTGAAGTTAGTTTCCTCACATGCAAGTGCAATGTCGCCAGCTTCGACCTAAGTATTTTGTAAGCATTCCATGAAGGAGCCTCAGTTATGAAATCCGCCGCCTATGGCCGCCTTTCTGCAGTCCTCCTCCTGATCTGATCTTCCTGCCTCATGCAAGCCTTTTTTTCAAATATTGGAAAATAGGATTCAATATTTTCATTTGCATGGATAGTAACTGCTGTCACTCCTGCTTTCTGTTTAAGGCCTGTAAACTTCGTAATCATTAATCATTAAATAGTCAAAGTACTGAGGTCTATGTTAAACTGGAATGCATGGCTCACCTAAGGCATTCTGTGTGTGTGTATGTGTAGTACATGAACAAATTTTTCTTAACACTGAAGAAAACATTTTGTGCCAGGAAAACAAAACTCAGCTGCAGCACTGGTTTGCCCACCCAGCTTGAAGCCATTTACTTCTGGGTTTCTTTAGCCAGTTTGTATTTCAAGACAAGGTCCATACTGAAGGCATTTCTAATCCTATTATTTTACTTTTATGAACTTGCTAAGCCAGGAGCTGAGGAAAGGCCATTTTGAAGGAAGGGTTCAAAGGGCATACCTTTGACCTTTGTGTGAAGGGGAGAAAGAGGAACGTGGTGAGTTCCTGAGGGCATCAAGTCTATGTTCAAGAGGTTACTAGATGCCATCTTCAGAAAAGAATCAAGACATTAGGCCAAGGATGTTAACCCTACAAAACTTAAGAAATCTTGTAAAGTGTTTGGTTTTTTTTTCCCTCTGAGATGAAGTCTCACGCTGTCACCCAGGCTGGCGTGCAAAGGAGCGATCCTGGCTCACTACAACCTCCGGAGGGCCTTTTCTTGGCCATCCAACCGTAAGTTTCTCCCAGTCACTACCTCACATCAACCTTTTGATTTAACTACAATCCTCCGTCACTAGCAGACGTGTTTCTCATTGGTCTGTTTTTCTACACTAGACTGACGGCAGGAGCGCTGACTATCCTATTAACTCATTGCTAGGGCCTAAAGAGTGCCTGGCACATAACAGACGCTCAAGGAATGTTTGCTGAAATGCTACGTGTTTATTTTTGTCATCCCATCTCTTTCCATGTAAACATTAGTAACTGACTCTTAAAAGGGCGTATATGCTCATCTCTGGGGCTAGCTAGCAGTGGCTCACACCTGTAATCCCAGCACTTTGGGAGGCCGAGGTGAGTGGATCACCTGAGGTTTGGAGTTCGAAACCAGCCTGACCAACATGGAGAAACCCTGTTTCTACTAAAAATGCAAAAAATTAGCCAGGCATAGTGGCGCATGCCTGTCATCCCAGCTACTTAGGAGGCTGAGGCAGGAGAATCACTTGGGCATGAGAGAAGGAGATTGTGGTGAGCGAAGACTGCGCCATTGTACTCCATCCTGGGCAACGAGAGCAAACTCTCTCAAAAAAAAAAAAAAAAAAATTGCAATCAAACTTTATCTTGCTTGTAATAACTAACATTTATTGAAGACCTCTGTGCCAAGCACTAAAAGGTGCTTTAATTTGTATTTTATTTAATTTGCACAATAAACCTATGACGATATGAATCATTTCTATTGTATGGATTCATAAAACTGCATAAAACTGAGGTTTGGTGGTTTTAACTGACCTGCCCATGAGCACTTACAAGTGACAGAACTAGGATTCAAACCTGGATGCACTTGAATCCAAAGATATGCTTGCTGTTTTTTTGTTTATTTTTATTTTTTTACTGTGCCCTTCACCCCCATGCTTGCTGTTTTACAGCAAGGATCCAAGGATCAGAGTAGGAGAGGGTAGGGGCTTGAAAAAGGAGAGGCAAGCTAAGTCCCTGAGGACTGGGGTTGAAACATAGCTTAAAAAAACAAAGGTTTGGACGGGCGCAAGATTACAGATTACACTTGTAATCCCAGCACTTTGGGAGGCCAAGGCAGGCGGATCACCTGAGGTCAGGAGTTTGAGACCAGCCTGGCCAACATGATGAAACCCCGTCTCTACTAAAAATACAAAAATTAGCAGGGCGTAGTGGCAGGCACCTGTAATCCTAGCTACTTGGGAGGCTGAGGCATGAGAATCATTTGAACCCAGGAGGCGAGACTGCAGTGAGCTGAGATCACACCACTGCACTTCAGCCTGGGCGACAGAGCGAGACACTCTCTCAAAAAACAAACAAACAAAAAACAAAAAAGAGAACACATATGAAAGAAGGCCTAGCTCAAGATATAATTGGTTCCTTTCTCTTTACCAAATTTCTAATAGCTTCTCATTCCTTTCAGTGAAATCTCCGACCAGTACAAAAATGAAGGCTCCAACAAGGAAAATGCTGAGTCTTTCACCTCAGTCACTATCTAACTCCCCACCAAGCTCAGACCTAAGAGCAGCACTTCCCAAGGGTGCTCATGGAGATGCCAGTTCCATGCTCATTAACAGAGGATCTCAGAATACAGTAACAGCTGAATGAACCAAGTAGGTAAATGGGTTTCCTGCAGAATTCTTGGGAGTCCCTAACTTGCTAATTTTTACCTTGAGTCTCAAGAAAAGGGGGTCATAAAATATGCTTCAGTTCCCAAACACATTTGACGACACCTTTGTTTTTTTTCTTTTGTTAACAAGTGTTTGGCATTTTCTCATCACACCTTTGTTTTGAGGTACACCTCACAGGACTAGCGTTCCAATAATCTTTCTTCTCTGTCCTTCATCTTCTGTCTTGGATTCAAATTCATTCCTGTCTATTCCCACTCCACCTCCCTCCTAACCAGAGGCTCCTCACTTCACACCTGGACTTTTGAAACAGATTCCTAAATTGATCACCTTGCTTCCAAATGTTCCTTCCACCAATTCAGACTCTTTGTTCCTGCCACATTCACCAAGGCATCATCATTTCACTTCCCCTTGTATAGGAACTGACAATGATACCAACTGCCTATCTGGCCAGTTCTACACCCCCCAGCCCTACTTGGCCAGCTGTATCCCTCTCAGTAGGCTTAGTGCACGTTAGGCACCATGATCATATGGCCTTTATTCTATTTTTCTTTCTGTGTCACCTAGGCTGGATTACAGTGGTATGGTCAAAGCTCACTGTACCCCAAACTCCTGGGCTAAACTGATCCTCCTGTCTCACCCTCCCTCTTGAGCCACTGTGCCTGGCAGCCTCTATTCTTTTATCCTATTTCCGTTCCAAGCCAAATCCTACAGATTCTTCAAGTTCAACCTCACACCCTATTTTTTTCCATAGGATCTTCCCTGGATCCTCTGTGAAAAGGGAGGGAGTGAGGACCATACATATCTGAGTTCATTTCCAAGCACCATCAACCCTAACTATGAAATTTAATCTCCATGCCTATTACCTTGCCTGTAAAAATGGGAATGATTACTATTTCACAGGACTGTTGGAGAATTCAGTTATTTTATATGTTCAACCAAACACTAAATCCCTGGATGGCTCTTTATATATATATATATATATATTTTTTTTTTTTTTTTTTTTTTTTTTTGAGACGGAGTTTCGCTCTTGTTACCCAGGCTGGAGTGCAATGGCACAATCTCGGCTCACCGCAACCTCCGCCTCCTGGGTTCAAGCAATTCTCCTGCCTCAGCTTTTGTATTTTTAGTAGAGACGGGGTTTCACCATGATGACCAGGATGGTCTCGATCTCTCGACCTCGTGATCCACCCGCCTCGGCCTCCCAAAGTGCTGGGATTACAGGCTTGAGCCACCGCGCCCAGCTATTTATATATTTTTTTGAAATGGAGTTTCGCTCTTGTTACCCAGGTTGGAGTGCAATGGTGCGATTTTGGCTCACCGCAACCTCCGTCTCCTGGGTTCAAGCAATTCTCCTGCCTCAGCCTCCCGAGAAGCTGGGACTACAGGTGCGCGCCACCATGCCCAGCTAATTTTTGTATTTTTAGTAGAGACGGGGTTTCACCATGTTGACCAGGATGGTCTTGATCTATTGACCTCGTGATCCACCCGTCTTGGCCTCCCAAAGTGCTGGGATTACAGGCGTGAGCCACCGCGCCCGGCTGGCTCTTTACTTTATATCCCTCACAGGTAGGCACTGGCAACTCAATAAACGTTGGGCAATTTGATCACTACAGGAAACATTGAGAGTAGCTTCCATCTCATTCTAGAGGAATGGTCATTTGAATAAGTGGGGCCCACCCAGTGTACTCATCACACCAGCACTTGTTTTGACTTTAACAGTAATCAAGTGGCCACTGTGTTAGCTGCTTTTATGGGCTTGATCACTTCCAGCCATCTTGAGATACCGTAAATATGGAAGCTGAGGTGCAAAGGTTATGGTGACTTGCCTAGTCAGGCATAGCTGGTGAGTGGGAGGGCTAGGATTCAGCCTCTACCCTAAGACAATATGGAACAGTGCCCCGGATATTTCAACACACCAGTCCCACTGAGTTCCACGAGATCCTGTTGATTCCAGTGGCAAGTATTCTTCAGACTCCTTGGCAAACTCCTGGTCAGGACTGTCTTAATGATTTCCATAGAAATTCTGGGCTATAAAGTGAGCCTCTCACTTCTGTCATCACAGCCAGAGGTTAGAGCCCGGAGATGTGAAGTAATCCACAAGTGAGAAGATGGGCCCTAGTCCAGGTCTACCCTCCTGTCTGTGTCTTCAGGTAAGTCCCTGTTCCTCTCTTGTGATTTCCACTGTGTCTGACTATGGTGATGATTTTGGATATTAATGAAAAGGGAGATGAGAGACATTTCATCAAGATTCTTTTCCCCACCCTAATTCTTTCTTTCCTTATCAGATGTGAAGAGACGTGACATTAGAAAACACGGCTCAGAACTTCCTGATGTTTCTAAATCAGGCATGGGTCAAAGCACTAGGCACACATTAGTAATCTGTAGGTGTGAGCTATTATCACTATGTGTTTGCCTAGCCCTTGGACAACATAATTCAAGTCTCTAGAGGTTAATACCTAACAACTTTCCTCAGTTATCATCACCATGCTTTAAAATGTAGCCCCTTCCACCTGATCAGGAACTGTGTAATGGGGAGGCTGGAATACTCATCCTCTGTGGTAGACAATGCTAGTTTTTGCCTAGATTTTTTTTTTTTTTTTGATAGGATCTTGCTGTTTTACCCGAGGCTGGAGTGCAGTGGCATGAACATGGCTCACTGCAGACTCAACCGCCTGGGCTCAAGCCATCCTCCCACCTCAGCCTCCCAAGTAGCTGGACTACAGGTGTGAGCCCCCATGCTCAGCTAATTTTTGAATTTTTTGTAGAGATGGGAGTCTCACTATGTTACCCAAGCTGGTCTCAAACTCCTGGGCTGAAGCCATCCACCTGCCTTGGCCTCCCAAAGTGCTGGGATTACAGGCATGAGCCACAAGTCCAGCCCTGGTTAAATTTTAATATTAAATATCCTATTTAGGAGAGAAATGCATAGCTAGATGCAAGAATCTGATCACTGAAAAACCTGGATGATTCTAGTGAAAATGTGTTAGGCCTGAGGACTTTCAAAACAACCTAGCAAATCTGCCATCATATAATTTGATTTCTATGGCCCTTTTTTTCAAACCTTAGGCACATTTTTTTTCCTGTTTTTTTTTGAAAGACAGAGTCTCACTGTTGCCCAGGCTGGAGTGGTAAGATCTTGGCTCACTGTAACCTCTGCCTCCTGGGTTCAAATGATTCTCCTGCCTTAGTTTCCTGGGTAGCTGAGACTACAGGCATGCACCACTATGCCCAGTGAATTTTTCTATTTTTTAAGGCTGGATGTGGTGGCTCACGCCTGTAATCTCAGCACTTTGGGAGGCTGAGGTGGGCGGATCACCTGAGGTCAGGAGTTCGAGACTAGCCTCACCAATGTGGTGAAACCCCATCTTTCAAAAAAAAAAAAAAAAAAATTTTTTTTTTTCTATTTTTTAGTAAAGATGGAGTTTCACTATATGTTGGCCAGGCTGGTCTCAAACTCCTGACTTCAGGTGATCCACCCGCTCTGCCTCCCAGAGTGCCAGGGTTACAGGCATGAGCCACCACACCTGGCCCACATTCTTTATATGAAATGATGAGATCAAATTTCTGCATCTATAACATATACACTGATGACACCTGCCCAGTTTATCTTTTCTCCAACTTTACAGGTTGAAAACAGATCCTTTTACATAAATGCCCTCTTTTTCAAGATGTTACCACTATGTTGAAATCCTGGAACAAGCCTGACACACCTCACTCCACTCCTCCCTGCCCTCCTTGCCGCCATGTTGAGTCATTAGCTCAGCTCTGAGTTCCTATTCATTTCTACGCATGAATCATCTCATATCCACAACTATCTTGAAACTCCACCCTGCTTTTGTATTTGCTTCTTTTATCTGGCTAAAATTCAACTGCTAAGATGAACTTCCTCTCAGCAAATAGCGCTTATCAACATTTCCCTCCCATTTCTACCATTCACTAGCCACACTTCAAAACAGCATAGAATTATACCCACTAAGATCCACATTGATTATCTTTTCATTTTAATTGCTCAGAATGCCAGGGTTCTAACTTCACTTAAATCTAATTTCAAGGCCTGGTTAAAGTATAGCTCTGAGATGTGCTTTTCAGGGGCTGAGGCCTGTTCAACTTGTTTTCTTTATGGTGCCTTTGTAGTGCCTGGCACTCCACAGGCAGCTAGTCAATGTTTGTTTAAAAAATTCCATCTTCTCTCCCTCACCTCTTCTCTCTTTGCTTTTTCCTCTAGATTCCGTCCTCGCTTGTTTATTTTTTGTTCCTACCTACTCAATACATTCTTTCAATATAAAATACTCTATGCAGAATCCCACTTCTGGAGTGGGGACAGAATACATGCCCTTATGTGCTGGCTTGCCGGCACTTTTTTGATATTTACATTGCGATGCTAGAATCAAGGAGTGCAGTACAATTTGCTAAAGCTTTAAAAGGAATAGGACCTTGGTTCCATGCAGGTTTAGCAAACGTTTAACATTCTTTTATTCGGGAGAACACAGCTGAGAAACTCCTGTTATTATCCACACTTGACGAGCACACTCCAGAACTTCAGCACTGGCCCAACTCGGCAGCTGGAGGAACAGCTACTGATGGTGCAACTCTACAGGCCTTTCCAGTACTTGGGAAACAGGAGAGCAGTTAGTGGGGGCAGGTTCTAGAGTCACAAAGGGTGGGGCCAAATCCTGCCATCAATAGCTGTGAACTCCCTTGTGAGGACTGAGTTAACAAAAGTAAAGCACTGAGAATGATACTTTGTACTAAGTGTTCATGTGTGTTGGGGATCTCATCATTATTTCCACAGTCAGATCAGGGGCCAAATGCACAGAAGTGAAAATTTTTCTACCAGAGTGTGACTGGATATAGAGAATTTTGTTTCTGGAATTTATTTCCTAGCGGGTGAAACTGGGGAAATCCCTTCTACTGACTGCATCCTAGTTTCCTAAGATCATCACTGATAAGATTGTTGCAAGATTGTTCCTACAGATCACAAAGTATCAAAAAGTATCAAGCACAGTATCAAGTACTGAGTCCTTTCCACAAAGTATCAAAAAGTATCAAGTACTGAGTCCTTTCCTTCTCCCTAGTTTTACATTAGGAAATGATTTGCAAATATCTGGTTAGGAGCAGAGAAATACTAATGGCTGGTCAAAAGAAAGCAGTCCAATGTAGTGGATCCTCCTTTCAATTACATGATGTGATGATCTGAGACAAATGATCTTATCTCCCAGCACCCCAGGTCCTGCAGAGTCAACTCTACTTGCTGCCAGATTATGGCCATGACGCAAACAACGTATTTGCTCTGCTAAGGCATCACTCTGGTTACTACTGGCATTGGAAAATAATTACTCTCATTATAGTTTTGTCTGGATATGGGGATTAACATTCTTTTAAGCGTAGGCCTCTGGCTCTTTCAGGGCAAATGATCCCTACCTGTGTTTTTATAAATCACCCCAAATAGGTTGCTTCCAGCTGTAATTCTGGTCCCTATGTGGCAATAATTTCATTTACAAGCTAAGAGAGTAAGAAAAACGTCTTCTAGAAATGCCAATATGCACTGCTGAAAGAATGCTTGAGCTTTTCTGCAATGAGGACTGAGTGGGCCTAACCCTTTCTAGTTGGGGTCATCAGGCAACATCACCACCAGAGTTGCTATGGACCACAGACATGCTGTTGTGTTCATCAAGACATGACAGAAGTGATTCTCAAAACGTTTAATAAAGCAATTCTAGAAAATCAGAGCAAAGAGAAAAAAGCTGAAATCATTTTTTTTTCCCCCAAGACCTGTCGCCCAGGCTGGAGTACAGTGGTGGGATCTTGGTTCACTGCAACCTCCACCTCCTGGTGCAAGTGATTCTCCTGCCTCAGCCTCCCGAGTAGCTAGGGCTACGGGCATGCCCTACCACACCCAGCTAATTTTTGTATTTTTAGTAGAGACAGGGTTTCACCATGTTGGTCAGGCTGGTCTCAAACTCCTGAACTTAGGTGATTCTACCTGCTTTGGCCTCCCAAAGTGCTGGGATTACAGCCGTAAGCCATGGTGCTTGGCCAAAAGCTGAACTTCTATTAACCTGTGGAGTGTCATTTGTTCTAAGTGGGTAAGAAAGACCATCTAGAATAAAGGAAAAAGAGGAGGGGATCCAGAATCAGCTTCAAATTATAGCTTTACTATCTATTTAGAACATATTACCTCACCTTTCTGGCTGTTTATCAGTAAAATACAGGCAGTGAGATGACTGCTAGGAGGGCTACACAAAGCAATGTACGAAAAGCACCACTGCCAGCACCTGGCCTCATAGAAATGCTGAGCACTGTGTATACATCTTGCTTGTGGTACTCACCACATTCAACCTTTGATGACAGGTGACTGAATGTGTACGTATCTTGTCCCACTTCTAGATCGTAAACTCCTCGGCAGCAGAACTTTAGAGGCATTAAACATAGTGGTCAACAGCATACTTAAAAGAGTTCAACCCCAAGTCTTGTTACCTTGGGCAAAGTACTGAACTAAATGCTGTCTTCATCATTAAAATGGAAATAACTCCAGGTATTAACATGTCTTCCATGGGACTGCTGAGCAGATCACTCAAGAAAACACAGCAGAGGCTATGAGCACTGTGCTTAGCCCACAGTATGTGCCAGATAAATGGTAGTGATTATCTTTTCCTGTCGTGTGTCCCTTATACGTGCTAATACCTACAGATTTGAAGGTTGATGAAGCTGAGACATTACCCCACCCACAGAAATCCAGAAATATCAGTAAGTATCAAGATGCCAAGGAGAAGGGTCCCCTACCTCTGGAAAATCTCTTGCAGCGTATCCCGGGTGAAGGCATTGCTGTCCTGGAAGACGTTATTGAGGGCGTGGAGGGCACAAAGCTCCCTGCGCTGTTTCTCATGGTAGATTTGTGGGGGTGCTGCCTGGGGCAGCTCCAATGATTCAGATTTGGCCTTGTCTCCTTTCCATGGCACACAACTCATGTTTTTTCTTTTAGGTTCCAGAGATGGCTAAAAACACCCCACTCTTTCCCTCCAGAGGAAGAATGCAAGCTTCTCAGTCTTTTCAGGATTCCTGAGGTCCACCTTATTCTCTGGTGTCCATGATTTATGCTTTGTCACTGGGAGAAAAGATTGGAACCGAAAGGAAAAAAAAAAAAACAAAAAACACCTCTTCTCTCTTCTCAATAGAAAAATAACTTTTGGATTAGTTTTATTTTGCGACCACTGTCAAAGTGCAGAATTTAGAAAATAAAAAACATAAAATGTAAGACCTTGTTTCCCTTTCCCCACCCTTCCCTCCCACCCCCCTCTAAAAACCCCACTATTTTCTTGCTGTTTCCCTCTGCAAATGCCAGGCCTCAAAGCAGGAGGACCGAACACAATCGGTCACATCGCTCCTTTTCTTCCATTTCTTTCGAACCACGACGCCACTGATTCGGGAGACAAGGCCTGGGTGGCTGATAAAGCGCACGAGTCGAGCAGCTAGCGCGGGCCGGCGGGCGTGGGATCGCGGGCCGCGCGGGGGCCTCGGGGGCAGCTCTCCATCCCCTTGGGTGCGCTGGGGCCCGCAGGGCGCGGCTCCCTCGGAAAGCGCGGACTCTCTCCCTCTGGCCGCGGCCCTGCAGAGGAGACAACTCCGGTCAGCGGTGAGCGGGCGCGGGAAGTGCGCGGCGGGGCCGGCCCCTGCCGGAGGGAAGGTCCGCGCCGCGACGGCGAGGCCCGCGAGGGGTGGGGCCGTACAGTCCGCCTGGCGCTCCCAGGCTCCGGCCCGCCCGGCTCGCCGCCCCCACCACAACCTCCCGGCCCGTCACGTGAGCGCAGGCCCAGACGCCCTCCCGCCGCGCTCCCGGTTGCAGCCCAGCGCCGCGGGGACTGCTCGCCGCCCGCCGCCCCTCACCGCCGCCGGCCTCCACCTGGAGTGCGGGCCGCCAACTGGGCCGCGCGGGCGGGCGGGCGCGTGCACCTGAGCCCGACGTCAGCGGCCCCCTCCCGGCGCGTGCCCCGGAAACGCCCTCCCGCGCCGTCCCGCCCCGCCCCGCCGTGGCGTCACGGCTGACGTCATCGAAGCCGGCCTGCGAGCGACGGACGTTTGGCGAGTCCGGGCGCAGATGAGGGGTTGGGGTGTTGCAGGGGCCTTCAGTGTTGGGCCGCGGAGCTCGGCGGCGGCCGGCAGGGCTGGGGTCTGGCCGCTCGGCTCAGCGCCGTCCCGGGCGGGGCGGCGCGGCCTGAGGGAGTCCTGCCAGAACGCCCGCTTGCCCTTCTCCCGGGTGTGGGCGTTGTTCCGGGGCGGCAGTCAGGCCAGCCGCTACCGTCCGCGGCTCTCCGCACCCCTCCCGTCTCTGGGCCGGGCTCCTCGGCCGAGCGTTCTTGCTCCCTCTGCGTTGACCATTTCACGTGTGGCTAACGCGCTGCTCACCGGGGGGAGTTGGAAGCACTTGATTCGGTCGAGCGCAAATTGCCTTGTTTAGTGCGCCCGACCGCACCGTGTCCAGGGAGCGCTAAGGGTAGGTGCCTCGCTGGGAGTCACATTTCAAGTGCGAAGGAGAATCCTGTTGCAGTCCCTTGGTGTCGCATTTGGGTTCACTACACGCAAGCCACTGTCCTCTTGCCTTGGGGCTCCCCGCTCTTCTCACGGTGGCTTTCCTCTCTGCATAGACATCAGCGCGAGATATACCTAAGCGCATTGTGTGCGTTGTCGGGAAAAGGCGAACTACTTACAGTCTCACGTGGATTTCGTTATTTTTTTCTCTTTACCTACCCTTAGGGTGCGTGGTAGGCATCATTATCCACCTTAGTTTCCCTCCTTTTGGGTTTTTCATAAAACTGGAAAAACAGAAAGAAATCGCACTTCAAATTTAGTCTTCATTTTTTGGAGGCGGGGTCTCACTCTTGTCGCCCAGGCTGGATTGCAATGGTGCGATCTCAGCTTACTGCAGCCTCCACCTACCGGTTCAAGCAATTCTCCTGTCTCAGCCTCTGTGTAACTGGGATTACAGGCGTGTGTCACCATGCCTGGCTAATTTTTGTATTATTAGTAGAGACAGGGTTTCACTATGTTGGCCAGGCTGGTCTGGAACTCCTGTGATCCACCCACCTCGGCCTCCCAAAGTGCGTGAATTACAAGCGTCGGCCACCACGCCCGGCCTAAAGATTTATTTTTGAGACAGGGTCTTGCTCTGTTTCCCAGGCTGGAGTGCAGTGGCGTGATCACGGCTCGATCTCCTGGGCTCAAGTGATCTTCCTGCCTCAGCCTACTGAGTAGCTGGGACTACAGGCAGGGACCACCACACCTGGCTAATTTTTATTTTTACTTTTGTAAAGATGTTCATCACGTTGCCCAAACTGGTCTCGAACTCTTGAACTCCCTGGCTCAAGTGATCCGCCCATCTTGGTCTTTCAAAGTGTTAGGATTACAGGCGTGAGCCACCGCACCTGGCCAATGCAATTATTTTAACAGCATTACACCCAACAATGTTATAATTTAACATGCTGGAGTGCCTGCCACAAGGTGGGGAACGCTTTTACTCTGTGCAGCCAACTTCTGAATTATCTTACATTTTTGTAATTTGTAAGCTACCCACGGATATGCTTATATTTACATATGATTAGTTTGAGGGCTTGCTGAACAACAGCAAGCACTGTTCTAAGTGCCTTACATATATTAGTTCATTTGCAGCTGATTATCCTATTAGATACTTCATTTCTTCTTTTTTTTTTTAGAGACAGCCTTGCTCTGTCGCCCAGGCTGGAGTGCATTGGCGTGATCTCCACTCACTGCAAACTCCGCCTGCTGCGCTCAAGCAACTCTCTTGCCTCAGCCTCCCAAGTAGCTGGGACAGAGGCAGGACCCAATCGAAACATAGAACAGGTCCCGCTCGTGGACCGCTGCTCAAGTAGATAGTAAATTGCAAAACGAGCCTCCCACTCGATTCAGTGACTGAGGAAGTCGCTGGAACGCCGATGTCCAACGTGCTGGCATGCTCCAGGCAACTTTAATAGTAGGATCGATGCCATGCATTCCAAGAGTTATAATACTATAGCAGTAGCTGGGACTTCAGACATGTGCCACCATGCTCAGCTAATTTTTTGTATTTTTAGTAGAGATGGAGCTTCGCCATGTTGGCCAGGTTGGTCTCAAACTCCTGACTTTGTGATTCACCTGCTTCGGCCTCCTAAAGTGCTAGGTGTGAGCCACCATGCCCAGCCTAGATGCCTTATATCTTTAGAAGAGAAAACAAACTCAGAGAAGTTAACTTTCTTGGCCGGGCGCGGTGGCTCAAGCCTGTAATCCCAGCACTTTGGGAGGCCGAGGCGGGTGGATCACGAGGTCGAGAGATCGAGACCATCCTGGTCAACATGGTGAAACCCCGTCTCTACTAAAAATACAAAAAAAAATTAGCTGGGCATGGTGGCACATGCCTGTAATCCCAGCTACTCAGGAGGCTGAGGCAGGAGAATTGCCTGAACCCAGGAGGCGGAGGTTGCGGTGAGCCGAGATCGCGCCATTGCACTCCAGCCTGGGTAACAAGAGTGAAACTCCGTCTCAAAAAAAAAAAAAAAAAAAAAGAAGTTAACTTTCTTAAGGTTACATACATATGATATGTGAACCCAGTATGTAGTGAATGCAGAATTTGAACCTAGTGTCCAACTTTTCTTCAGAAAGACATATAGATGGTTAGGGTAGGTACTTCCTCCTCTAAAATGTCATGTTAGAATTCCCCATTCAATTCAAAAGTGCCTTCTCTGACTTTTCTGGGTAAAGGCTATAGTGCAAAGGGCATGTTTTTTAGTTGACTAGCAGGCTGTCAGCACATTCTGGACTTGATTTTTTTTTTTTTTTTTTGAGCTGGAGTTTTCGCTCTTGTTGCCCAGGATGGAATGCAATGGCATGATCTCAGCTCATCACAACCTCCATCTCCTGGGTTCAAGCGATTCTCCTGCCTCAGCCTCGTAAGTAGCTGGGATCACAGGCATTCACTACCAAGCCTGGCTAATTTTGTATTTTTAGTAGAGATGGGGTTTCTCCATGTTGGTCAGGCTGGTCTCCAACACCTGACCTCAGGTGATCTGCCCACCTTGGCCTCCCAAAGTGCTGGAATTACAGGCTTAAGCCACCGTGCCTGGCCGACTTGAACTCTTTGGAAGAGAGCCAGTTGGTGAGATGCTATCAATCTTGGCTGCAGAGGAAAAGTCAAAATCTGTTTTTTAAAATTATCACTACAACACCTCTGATCACCAAAATGTGTGGATTTCTCCCCACTAGCAACCCATCAGTTCTGCAGGGAACACCAGCTGGGTGGCCTCTAGTTCAATTCAATTCTGTCTCACACTGTCTACCTGGAGATACTGTCAGATCCCATTGGTTAAAGGCTCAGTCCTACAAGACTGTGCCCCTCCCTCAGAAGCCAGTTATGAGTTCAGGCCTCCGGAACTTTTTTTTTTTTTTCCTGAGATGGAGTCTTGCTCAAGGGATTCTCCTGCCTCAGCCTCCAGAGTGGCCTGGGATTACAGGCACATGCCACCACACCCAGCTAATTTCTATGTTTTTGGTAGAGATGGTGTTTGGCCATGTTGGCCAGGCTGGTCTTGAACTCCTTACCTCAGGTGATCCGCCCTCCTCAGCCTCCAAAAGTGCTAGGATTACAGGTGTGAGCCATCACTCTCAGCCCATATAGGATGATGGTGAGCAATTTGGCAAGGAAGAAATTAAAAAGCACATAAGAACAGTATCAAGACCATTGGGATCAGATAACTTTCTGTCCAAGATTCCCAGCTGTGTTTGTGCAAAGAAGACTTGATAGTAGTGGAAAACGGGGACAAGAAGAAGCCGTCTCTTTTTTCTCAGATAGATCCCCAGAACCGAAAGCCGTTTTCAGTCCTACCACTTGCCCACTAAAGATTTAGCGTTTAGGTCCAAACTCTGCATCTTGGGTTCCTTATCTTCTCAAGCATGCTCTTGCTTACTTGATCCCTGGAACGAGTGGCCAAGGCCAACGTTATTAGACATTGGTTAATCCCCAATTTCACCAAGCAATGAAGGCCTAGGCTTTTCTGACTTTTGAAACAGAAATTCAGGACACTAAAACGTGCTGATGGCATTTTGGGTTGGGGCTTTTCACAACTGATGACGCTGGAAAATAATCCATAGGAAATTACCTTATCATACCCTAGATCTTGGTTTAGCAGTTTACCACAAAAGTGGCGAGGTGGTTTTTGGCTTTTAATTTTAGGTGCTTGCCTCTGTTTTTAGTTCATGTAATTGTCTCCGCAAAGACAATGAATGGAGAATTCTCCCTAAGGTCAGCATTTAATTATTGCCTCACTCTGGCTGCTATAGTATTACAACTCTTGGAATGTGCGGCATCGATTCTACTATTAAAGTTGCCTGGAGCATGCCAGCACGTTGGACATCGGCGTTCCAGCGACTGCCTCAGTCACTGAATCGAGTGGGAGGCTCATTTTGCAGTTTACTATCTCCGCGAGCAGCGGTCCAGGGGCGGGACCTGTTCTATGATTCGATTGGGTCCTGCCTCTGTCCCTTATCGGAAGGCTCACAGCGCCTACTGTTTGTCAGTAAGATTTGCTGGCTTAGCACCGCCTCTGGAAACAGGGGGAGTGAAGGGGCGTTGACGAGTAACGTCTGTATTTCTCTCCTCATTGGATGGCTGCTGTGTCAGTCATGCTCTGCTCTGCTCCCGTTGGCGGGAAGGCTTCAGGCGGGTAGCGAGGACTCGGTACTGCTCCCTCCCAAGCTGGGAGTAGGGCTGACGTCTCAGACATTTGCTGTTGGGGTTTGGGCCTCATTAATTATTCATTAGGTACTTGCAAGCACTGCAGGGATTGGTGGCTGAGAGGCCTGGGCGACTGTTTCTTAGCTAGAGAGACGTGTCACCCAGTACGCGGCCGGAGAAGTTTTGCATAAATTATTCCGATGAGGGGCGGGGCGGGGCCGGTGCATAGATTAGTCAAATAAGCCGGGGAGGAGGGAAGCCGGCTACGAATTAGCCTAAGTTA